GGAACTTGGTTAAAGACTAAAGACCCAACCCAATAGCAATCAAGGTAACCCGTTGGATTAGAACTGACAGAACACCAACCATGAGGCTGCGTTGTAACACATGAATAACATGCGTTGCCAGGAGCAACGGGAATATGTTCATGCTGGCAAACGTGGCATGCAACCTTTTCAGATGTCCTATATGCAATCTTGCAAGAAGCCACCTAACTGTGGTAGCTCGCCAGCCTTTGCCCAAAGATCCCTTGTGGCATCTGCAGGTTGCTTGGCTCTGATGCTTTCGCGTCCGGGGCCGGGGGCCTTTTAGAATGAAATAAACAACAATGATACCAAGATACATCATCCAACTCTTCTGAAAGTTCTGGCACATACCAAAATCTGCAAACCATACAATTCTCAAACTTGAAATATATGGAACCCCAAGTAACAGACCCTACAGCGTGGGTGCACGTTTTACCCCCGAACCGGTGATCTCGCCATGAAGTAGGTGTCCAAATACGAGCCTTGTCGGCTTTTCTTCAATCCGCCATATGTCCCATCATAGAAGACCTGCCAAAATGGGCAGTTTGCGTTTGCTATTGCTTTCACGAAGCCAAGCCACAAGGGCTTGGCCTCAATAAAGACAAACTCCACATGCAAAACCCTTGGTTGCTGTTGACCCCCCTGCAAAAAGTCGAACTTTTTGGGGGTTTAGTGGAAAACACCTGTATTTCCCAAAAAGTTAAAGTCTAAGGATCCAACCCAATAGCAGTCAAGAACCAAAAGCGCTGCTTTGTTCCCAGCAGCTTGGGCCAGCGCCTTTTCTCAACTGACTGCGTGCGAAGCTGTGAATTGATACGCAACTCTTTATCTATGGGCATTCGTAGCCAAGTAGATGATATATGTGAAGAACACTTTGCAGACCTCCTACTAGGTCTGGAAAGTGTTCTTCACATATATAATCTCCCTCCGGCGTTTGAAACACAACTTGTGTGCTATTTAGCACCACTATGCTCACTTCCTGAGTGGATCGGGCAACATATCTTCCCAACACTAACCTTCCATTTGATTAACTCAAAACAATACAATAGAACATGTCCAGTAGTGATAGATTCCCTTTTAACACCAACAGGTACAGGGGGGGGGCAAATAACGCATATTCATTTGCCAAATGGAAGATCAGAAGCTCAGGGACTCAGGGGCGCCTGGTTCAGCACTTTCTGCTCCTGGTTGCTGGCGCTGAGGAACCAGCTCGCCCCTGGGGGTTGGTTGCTCTGGCTCGCTCGGCTGGTGTGAGGGACCACCTTCCCCCAATGTCTCGCCCAAACAGTTGCAGAATCGCGTCACTTGTCACACACGCACCCAAACTGGAGAGTACAGTAAACTCTTGTCGTTTTGCATGCACGCAGCGAGCAATGCGAGTATATCCTTGTACTTCTCCCCGGTCCCTTCACTTCAACCCCAACGGGGGGAAAAGGCCATTCTCCTCCCAGAATGTCCCAAATCTCTCGATCCATGTAAATACCGCCTACTTCGGGGTCGCTATTTGAAAATCTCAGCTCCTGAGTGGTTTCGCCCAAAAGGTGACCCACCTTGTAAACTTGTTGCTTTTAATGCTTGCCACCATAAGCAAAAAAGGCCGAAACCCCATAGACTCGCTACAAAGTAGGTCTGATGAGGAACCCTGCCCTCGCTCCCGCCAACATGGCACCTGACAAAGGGCCCCTTGAGGAACTTGATCCAGGTACCCTGGTCCCATGTTAGGAAGGGTATGTGAAAGGTTGCGCGCCACCCAAACCTCCAGCCCACAAACGTCTCATTTTGTAGGCTCCCCCCTTTGTGGGCACTGCAAATTCCACGTGACGCTGGCATGTGGCATTCCTGGGCAATGGGGGGTCTCTGCTGCATTTCCCCTTGCTTCCCTTTCGCGAGAAATTTCTTCGTCGAGCTGCCCGCGCCATCGCGCAGCTTCTCCGTGTAGGGGCCATCCTGGGGCTTGGACCCAGTGCTGGTCCACTTCCTCGGCAAGCTGCGTCCGTGCGCGTTTGGGGACTCTCGCGGTCTGTGCGTGTTTTTGCATTGGCATCCTTTGTTCAAGGGCATTTAAGGTGTGGGGATTGGAGATACTGTGGGTGGACAAAATCCTGCCCCGTTTGAAACCATGGGAACCGTTGTTTGTTAGTTTTCACAGGCAAATCATCATGCCAGGGTTTCTTATGTGGTGCAGGATTTCGTCCATCCACAGGATGGTTGTGGTATGCAAGCATCCATGCCTCCCAAACCCATCTGGAAATGCCCTCGTTGTTTGTTCCCCACCCGACAGGAAGGGGTTGTTAGATTTAATGTTGGAATCCACGTTTGCGATGCTTCTACACCACGCCCCCACCCAGTATCCCGTCAGAGCAGCTTGCCAGTGGATCAGTATCCCGCCAGAGCAGCTCGCCAAAGTGTCCCTTCCATTGCGACCTCCTGGGTCCCAGCCCGCGCTGACCAAGGGGTTCTCAATCGGGCCCTCCAACCACCGGCTGCGGGCCAGTGGGATCATGTGTGGCTCAATGCACGCGCCAACTCGGTCGCCACCAGTTGTGCTCGGGATCATTTGTGCATTAGTGAAAGGAGACTTCACTCCCGTGCGTATGCCACCATGCGCCAGAATGTGTGGCTGCAGTGGATCCCGCCCAGTATCCCGCCAGAGCTGCTCGGATCCCGCCGAGCATCCCGCCAGAGCTGCTTGCGCCAGAGCTGCTCGCCGGTGGATCCCGCGCAGTATCCTGCCAGAGCGGCTCGCCAGTGAATCCCGCCGAGTATCCCGCCAGCGGCTCGCCATTGGATCCCGCCGAGTATGCCGCCAGAGTGGCTTGCCAGTGGATCGCGCCAAGTGTCCCGCCAGAGCAGCCCGCCAGTGGATCCCGCCGAGCATCCCGCTGAGTATCCCAGAGTAGCTCGCCAATAAATCCTGCCGAATATCCCGCCAGAGTAGCTCGTCAGTGGATCCCGCCGAGTATCCCGCCAGAGCAGCTTGCCAGCCCCGCCGGGCATCCCGCTGAGTATCCCAGTAGATCCCGCCAAGTATCCCGCCAGAATCCCACCAGAGCAGCGTGCCAGTGGATCCCGCCAAGTATCCCGCTGAGTATCCCAGAGTAGCTCGCCAGGGGATCCCGCCGAGTATCCCGCCAGATTAGCTGGATCCCGCCGAGTATCCCACCAGAATCCCAGAGTAGCTCGCCAGTTTCCCGGGAGCGGCTCGCCAGTATTCGCCAGTGGATCCAGGGCAGCTCGCCGCCCGGCGCGCAGCTGGGTTTATATTTCATGTTGGTGCCTTCGTGTTTTGAGTGTACCCTGAGGCTCCGAAAGGGCGATGCTTTTGTGTTGCTTTGGGCTGTGAATAAGCAACTTCGTTTAATCCCCCGTCGGGTTTCTTTTTGGAAGGGGCTTGACTTTTCTTAACGGAACCGATGATTGAGTTCGCGAGATCGGCTCGCAGACAAGTGGAGTTTGACACACAGACAGGCGGATAAGGCTCTCAATGTCTCAATGCATGCTTGAATTCACACAAACGTGTTCACAGTCGTAAGCTCGTGAGTGTGGAGGGTGGGGATTGCTCGAAGCGAAGTATTATTTTTTTGGGGGGAGGGCAGAAGGGGAGCCAAAAGGAACACCAAAATTTGTGCGGTCCCCTAAAACACACAAACACACACGCATATGCTCTGGCGGCTTTTGTTTCAAGGGTTGAAGAGGGTCCTCTTATTTGGGGGGGGGGCCTGTTTTGACCGTGTCAACTTGGCAAGTTTTGGCCACTTCAGGGTATTACACCCTGGGAAAGTACTCTCTAGGCCCAAAGAAACCGACAATACAAGGTGTTGTCTGGAAATCAGCCAGGGTGATTCCCCAGGGGCGTAACCCTTGGATCAGCCACTTCAGCTTGCAAACTAAGGGCTTGGGGGGGTTCAAATCAGGACAGGACCTAGATTGTGGTTTCAGACTAGGGACGGGAAGAACACAAATCCTTTGCTCCTAGAAACACTGCAACATTTGGTTTTGAAGTATCCCATGACGCCATTCCAACGTGTTTTGCCACTCGTGCCAAAAGGCCCAGACTGTTTTAGGGAGTCATTCTCCTCGGTGGTTCCTTTCCAGCAAGTTCCATTGTCAAACTCCTTTATGCGGGTCTTGATACTGGTTCCCTTCATATCAACCCTTAGAATTCCTCCATTCATCTACATCCCGTATCCAGTGGATGACCACCCCTGCCAACCACAAGCAAGGGGTCTTTTGACCACAGACCCACATGTTCAAACCTGGCACGAAAACAACACACGCGATGCTGATGCATGACTGTTGGATGCATGGCCGCGTCTTCACACATTGCAAGAGGCAAGCAAGCATGCCGCCACCTAAGTAGTTAATCCTAGACTTATCCTACGCTTAGGGATGCTGCCCCAATTGCCCATGTCATGACTCACCGCATTTTGCAAGCACAGTGCGATGGAATCACTTTCCGTTTGGCCACATAAGGAGAGATGAGAGTTGTTTTGTTGGACTGGCCTCACAACTGTTTGCTAGGAATGATCAAACCGGTTCTAAGTAAATTGAGTTTCAGCCGTACCATCGATGGTTGCAAGGAGAACATGTGGATCACATGCATGTGGTCCAAAGAAGTTCGGTGAGAAGGCGGGAGCAAGTTGGGGTCAAAGCCGTGGCTCCACAAAATCCAGATAGCGCCGGGTGGTTGATGCCATGACTATAGTAGCTCACTTGCCCAAAGGACCTGGGAATAAAAGGCTAACCTTTTGGGACCTCTACAAAAAATGGACCGAAAAGGGCAAAACCAAAAGGTCAAAAGGTCGGCTTTGAACAACTGAGATAGGTTTACAGGGGCAGGATTTTGTCCATCCACAGTAAGCATCGACTTCCTGGGCCATTTCAAAGAACCGAAGGACCCCCCCTAACCCCGCGGCAGTGGGCACAAATCGCCCCTTTCGCATCTTAAGCAGTGTCAGTTGCCATGTGACCATCAAATGCACTCAGTAGCCCAGCCTCACTTTGAGGTCCTCCAATTGAGTCAGCACTTTTTGGTCCATTGAGGACTGGGCTTGCAAAGCCGCGTCCGTGCACTCATCAGAGTTGGTATGGCGTGTGCTGCCTTTGGTGATGGATTGATCTCTGTTCAGATCTTCTTCTTTGGCAGCTTCTGCAATCAACTCCATCTCACTGCGGGAGATAAGACCTCCAAAGAGAAAGTCGAAGATACCGCCAATCTGCAGGTCGAAGCTTGCGGATGACTCTGTGAGATTCTCGTACCGCACATGGTACAAGCCATCCTTGTCCGCAAAGAGCGTTGTCATATCATCCAAGAGTGGGAGCATGTCTGGCCAAAGTGTCATCATGCCCTCAACAGGTCCCATCGACAACATCTCCGGCAAATGACTCAACGGATTTCCGGGTTCTTCTCCTCGATGGTGATAGCAGTATGCAGAGGCCAGCATGCGTGCAGGGTCACGCACAATGTGAATGCCACGGGCAGAGCCGTTGCCCCTTACCCTTGCCGCGTTAAAGCTGTCCAGCGACCCATGGCAGTCCCACAGGATGTTGCAATCCGGGACCTCTGGGCAGTAATGCGCGTGTCCGACAGAAGTTACGAAGGAACCCGGCAACGGTGCGGGCAGTGTGTGGCAACTCTAGCCTGCACCCAAGCCATCGAATGCGTGGCGCATGACGTTCCTTAGCAGGTGGGAACCTGCCTTGTGATGCACGCCTACCCAATAAACATGATCATCCCAAGGCTTTCTTCTCTGAAGCCCTGTCTGCGTCTGCAAAAGGAGTACCTCGCACTCATCGGCGATACCGATGGCCAAAATCGACAGCACATTGATTCGCAACATTGCGGAAAGCAACACATGTAGGGTTCGGTCAAGCTTGTAGCCAAAAGCATGGCTGCGATGCGCAAGCCTTTGTTCACATACGCTGGCCGTGTAGCGGCGTGCCCGCTCCCCATTCTTTCTTGACATGCTTCTGTGCGGATTGGGGGGTTCTGAGAAAAGAGGTGGGACGGGTGACTCTGGGGGCTGATTCCCCATTCTGTTCCAACCGCTTTTTTCTGGAGGTTTTCTAGAAGGAATAATCCCTGGAAAGACCTCGTGGCCTCAGCTGCGTTGCTCTCGCGTGCGGGGAACCCACTTTGGTGCCCCATGACGTCAAATCGGCCGCTGCGAGGTCAGACTCTGGGGAAACCGTGGTTCCATTGCGTCCATTTGGTTTTTCTTCCCCTGGAAAACAAAACCAACAACAAAAACTAAAACAATATGTCCAGTAGTGATAGATTCCCTTTAAAACCAACAGGAGAAAATAACATCTATTCTTAAGCACATGAAAGATGGGTGAGTGCTTCGAACACCTGAGCACCTTGACGACTGATTTACCCCACTCAAAAACCGACTAATGGTCTCACAATTGCGGGTGCTGCTATCAATGAGTTTCCATATATGTTCGACTGACCCGTACTGCGAAACCCAACGGTTGATTGACTAAATGCCGGTGAGGAACAAGGAACCCCTGTACATGACAACCCTGGTTTGTGACTGGGTTACTTGCAAGGCATTGAGGGAATCCATCGAACGGGAGCCCATGCTTATGTTTACCAAACAGGGGGTTTCGAGGTTCATCGCTTGCCCCTTTGCCCAAAAGCATTGGACCCACAAGCTTCCCGAATCTCAGGTGATCAACGGTTGGGGGAGAGTATTCATGATCCACAGCAGGCCCCGGCCTGCCAAAAGTTAGTTTCCTTTTTGGCTTTCCATCATAACAACTCCCCAACAGAAACGACCAGAAAAATTGACGCTCAACTCCCGCCCCTTTCAGACTCCGAACCATTTTCGGGGTGTCTTCCTTGTATCTTGGGGGGGGGTAGCTGGGACACAGGGGTTCCTTATAGGTCTCCTTAAACGTCACCCAACAGGCACATAGAAACAACAAGAAGTTAACTTTCTTCATTGAAATGAAATACAAATCGAACAGCCCGGCAATTCAACGGCCAAAGCGGTGACATCTGTCGGCCGGATGGAATCTATCGATCGATCCAAAGGTCGCTCGAAGCTCCCTAAGCTCCTCAGACTCTGAGAGCAGGAAGTCCTGACACCATCTCGACCCACCCCCGAGCTTTGCGAATGCGTCCATTCAAAATAAAAGAAGTAATCTGTCCAGTAGTGATATAGGTTCCCTTTCAACCCAACAGGGGAGAATAAACAATCGTCGTAAGCAAACGGGCGCTGATCAAAAATCCCCAGTCAATCAGGGGCAACGGCCCGGAAAAAGAAGAAGAAGAAGAACAAAAACACTTAAACAGGACATCCCATTGATAAGATGTGGGGAGGGCGAGGGTCTTTTCTAGGAAACGATTTGGATGCGTTGTTGGTGACTTTCACCCTGTTTTTCCCCATGTAATAAGGCTCTGTTTTAGTACTCTTTTAGTCCTCTTTTAACGTCCAGATCTTCAGGGTGGACTTAAAGTGGCGTTGGGAGTCAGCTAAGTGGTGGGATTCACACTGGCTGCCTGCAGGATTCGTCCCAGACCATCTAAGCAACCCTCAATCGCTGAAGCGAGTTTAATTGAGCAGCGCCCAAAACTTCTAGCAACATTGGAGATAACAACATATAAGGGACATACTTGAAGTCCGATAGACCAGGTAGTAGAACCACCTGCTAAAACTGTCAAGGGAGGTTTTGGTCGGAGGACCATCCGAGGTGCCATACGATAAAGAAGCTCATTTCTTGTTGGCTTCAGGGGAACGCGCACCAAAACAAGGACGAGACGTCGAATCTGATCCCACCCCACCCCGCCCCACCCCACCCCACCCCAATAAACCCCCCAAAATTGCAAGATTCTGCGGGGTCGTCTTCAACGACTCCAGCCAAACCCAGGAAACTGGTCCATTTCTAGTTGGCTGTTGCAGGGGAACACGCACCAAAGCAAGGAAATGAATTGGCTTCCTTTGGCTTGATTCCAAGCCGCGTCGCCTGCACCCGGCACTTCGGGAGCAGCGAGCCCAAATGCTTGGCGAGCTGTGCCTCGAAAGGTCAGGGCGACCATCCCCGTCGCTAACCCACTCGTACTGTAAAACAAAACTGGAAAACCAATTGGATTCGGTTGCTTCGCTTGCAACCAAGTAAGCCCAGCAACCGCAAAAGCCGCTCACAACAAGCCCTAAGCACCCGCTTGGAACCCTTCCGGAAAAACACTCTAGCCCGGAGCCAATGCAAACTCGTGAGCCAAGGCCAGCAAGCCCAGAGCGTTCAGCTGTTGTAGCGCTACTCCACCGAACAAAAAGAAGCTTAGACTTAAAACTGCCCAAACTTGCGGTAAAAGCCCAACACCCAAGCAGGCCGTCAAGATTACTTGGATCCCCACGAATGGGTGCTTTCCTTGATCTTCCTGCAGCCAAACAATTCGCCCAGCGTGTTTGGCAACACGCACCACAATTATTTTGGTGTGTGACTGCTCCCTAAACAAACTTTTCTTCTGTTTGGACACAAAGCAATAGCGGCTTTGTAGAGGGGCTATGCGTGACACAGCTTTTGGAGATTCCGTGTTTTTTGGTGACCGCCAGGAATTGCTCGCAATCCACATGTCCCGTTGAAGAGGGGCACGCAACAGGAGACTAGATGGAATCGTGCATACCATGCTTTGTCCGTTTCACATACAAACAGACAGAACACTGAAATGCTGCTGCCTGCCAGCCTATGTGCACCAATCGAAGTCTCCAATCAGAAACGGTGGATAGCACACCGATATGCCATCGGAGCAGAAACCAAATGTGAATCGCCCAGACACCAAAAATGGCCACCCAAAACCAACACCCAGTCACACAGTGATACTGCCCATTGCCCATGTACAAAGACAATGCAGAGCCCAGAGCGTGCAAACAAATAAGAGCTGTGGGGTTCCAGCACTTCAAGAGGTCCTTTCTAGCCATAGGGCAAGGCACTGATTGTGGGTCGGCAACACACCGGAAGTCTCATGTTGATTCGCGATGGAGCATGGTCTTAGGTTTCGTCACCGATTCCTGCTACGGATCAGATAAGGTAGCCAATTGCCAACAAAAAGGTACCCTGTCCGGCACCTTGGCGATCTGGGTGGTGGGTAGAGCGCCACCAAAGTAAAACTTTGGGACAAGCAACTCATGGCCTTAGTCTAAAGCTTGGCGTGAGAAGCATGTGTGTGTGTTGTTATGTTGGCCATTGATGAAGGCAAAACAAATGACTTTGAGCTTTAACAAAAGCAGCCTGGATAAAGAACGCGCAGAAGTATTGTTCACTTCAGATGAATCGAGCAGACTGGGGCAGAAATATCGGCAGGTCATTTTCCAACTGAAAGGGGCACAACCTCTGATTTTTGCAGGGCCTGAGAGGGTCGTTGTCTTGCGGGGCTTGCGCGTCTTACGGGTCTTACAGCAATTGGATTCAACTTGGGGTGGTTAAATCCGAATCCGCAATCTGTACACTCCCTCAGACTAACATGAAAGCTCCCACGAGGCCTCTGCCAATGAAACCAAGTCTTTTTTTAAAAGGTTTCCTGGGAGCCGCCATGTTCTCGGGGAGGGCACGCCACTAAAGCCAGAAAAAAAAACCACGTGGCATCTGGTTGCAGAAAACTAAAAAGCCGAGCTGCCGTCTGCTTCAGCTTCTCCTGGCCCATGCAGTCCTGCGGGCCGGAGGCCGAGAGGCCGAGACCGTGGAATCTCAACTCCTCCGTTTTGGGGCGCTTAATCAATCTAAAACTTGGCGTATTCTCGATTCAACCCGGGGTGGTGCTATGACATCCCTTATTTTTTCGCCTGCAGCAAGTGAGCATGGCTGGAAAATGAAGGAAGAGCAAGAGCAAAAGGCAAGACAGTTATCTAAGTCTGGCATTTGTCTTGAGAGGTGAACCAGGGGTTCAAATCCACCCCTGTTGAGCATTTTTCTAAGGCTTGGACACAGGGCAAGGCCCTCAACCACTTAGACACGTCCATTGAGGGATACGCCTCCATTGAGGGATGCATCGGCAAGGGCCATTTGTGCATATGAAGCTTCAGCTTGTACTTGGCTGGCTTGCCTTGAACTTGTGCTTGAAGAACTCATGGTAGGGCCACTTCCCCCCCAACACCAAAATTTGCGTCAGTGGCTTAGGGCCAAGCTCCCCAGGGCCTATGCACGCTCAAGAAGTTAGTCCGCAAGCAGTGTGCGCAGTTTGCGCAAAAAGCAAAGCAGTCGGGGTGCGCTTGACCGACCATGGTATTCAATGTGCTGGACAGTGAGTCAAATCATCAATAAAACCCCTGTCAAAGGGCCCTGGCCAAGCCTGCCGATGCAACCCAGCTACTGACGACTTGACAGTTCGTCTCCATACCATTGCAGTGTGACCCTTGCAAAAAAGCTTCGTATGAAGCATTGGCCGCTTTTGTGAATGGTTAACGGCGAATCCAAGGAAGTCGAATCAGGATTCTTCAAAGCACAGTTCCAGAAACCATGTTGTTTACAAGGGGATCTTCTGAACTAATTGCTTGATTTGACTTGTTAAGTGGCCCAAATACTATCCCTTGAGGGACCCCATGATGGATATATTGAGCGGGTCCGCGGCCGAAATAGTTTATACAACTTCTTGTAAAGAGTGCATCTGAGGAAAACCACCTTTACAAGGGGGCCATGGAACACAAGTACATTAGCACAAGTGCCTCACATAACACTCACCCCTTGATGGCCGCAGCGACTGGTCACCACATCTGTCTAATACTACCCTAGGGCGCAAAAACGACGCTTGAAACATGGGTAGGGGACCACCAAAATGGATCTCGGTGTTCCTGCTAGTTCCCCTTAGCTGGAAAGCTTCCATTGGGTTGAGACCACTGGAGAAAAAAACAGTAGTGCTAGATTTCCTTTAAAACCAACAGGGGAAAATAAAACATATTCAGAAGCAAATGGAAGAAAGGGCCGTCGAGCCGTCGAGCCGTCCAGCCGATCGGTCCGTGCGGGCCATGAAGGCCTGAAGACGACAGCCAGTCAGGGGCAGACCGTAGTCCCGCCTAAGCTGCAAGGCTGTGCTACTTTTATGGCCCGAGACTTAGCAACATGGTGAGAAAAAATGGTGACCGATTCAAGCCCTCACTCAACCAAGCCCCAGAAGAAAATGACGATCTTGGGGGCTTGGCTGAAGTAGGTGGAAAACAGGGCGTCTCAGAAGCATGAGCAGTCGAAAGGCATGAAGCAGTGCCCCCGTTAGAGGAACATGATCTGTCACGGGGCCCCTTCCACATATCCATGTTTGCTTTGGGACGGGACATGGTACATCTTGCAACATTCTGGAGGTGAAATGTCCAAAGAGCAACCACGTTTCTACAAGTCGATCCCCCCATTCTTTTCCCCATCGTGCTTTTGGGAAACCACAAAGATTCCCCAGGTGCAAAAGATCCTTTGAAAAGCCGACGTAGCAATAGCATGGTCTTCCCAAAAAAGTAAGTCCAGGAACTCGGGTGGCGTTTTGTTTTGTGGGACATATAACCTCCAAATGGTTGCAAGAGGATGGATCATCTACCACTCGTCTAGAGTCTAAACACCCTGATTGCCAGACTTTTTGGAAGGATCATCCCAAAACTGCCTGCTTTACAAGGACTCGGATTCTCCCAATAAGCTGGTTTTATGATGTGCTTTGCCTACCGCCAGCTGGTATCCTTTGACGGTCCGGGACTTAACTAAGCAGAAAGCAACCCTGATTATAACTCTACGGTGATCCCAATGAAGCCAACAAAGTCCAAGCCAAACAGTTTAAAGTCCAAGACCCCAGGGAGTGAGGCACCAGTTTCAGACCTCATTTGAGGTTTTCCGAGGGCAAGTCGAGGCGCAGCTGTGCGAGGACCAGCTCAAAGTGGTACCCAGGCACCGAGATCTGCTCGCCTCAGTCCCCGGGGTTTGTGTCAGCTTTCTTCCAACTGGTTTGGAGCCCAGTTTGGAGGTTTGGGGATGGTTTCCCATGCATCAACAAGAACCAAAGGGGCTAACCCCCCAATCACCAATCCTAACCACCAACTAAGGGATGCCATATTTTGTTGACTCCCCAAAACTGCACACATCATTCTAGTGCGGCCATTGCCAAATTTGGCTTTAAAGTACCCCACCACCCCGAACTAAATATTTAGGCCCCCTTACATGAATTCGGCCAGGTTGGTCAGGTCACCCATTTTTGAGGAAGCCAAGTGGACACCTTCTTCAAACTTAACCAGGTCCTCAGGTACAAAAGGTTAGAATAAGGGTACCCTTTTTTCTGTGGTCTGTTTTAGTAGGGGAACCCTCCCCCCAAAAAAGGGTGCACCACTACTGGGGGACCCAGTTCATGGGCAATAACCCAAGTTTGTGGACACCCTTTTCGATTGGAGACCACCTGAGAGCAGCTCCGGGTGTTCGGAAACCCCAATTGGCTGGCACGGATTCTAACACACCAAGGCCCCAAGTGGAGTGAAGCGGTGAGTCAAAGCCACTGAACCACTTGCTGAACATCCATCCGCGGAAGCTGGGAAGGGGGCTTGGTTAGTTCCAGGTTTTTGGCCTGTTGCAGTATGGTCCAGCCTTGCAAGCCTTTGCTGACCGGACCCGCAAAAAGTTGGCCACTTTTTGGGGGTTGAGTGGCAAACACCGCTTTTTTCCCCAAAAAAAAGTTCAAGTCTAAGGATCCGTTGCCCACTAGCCGTCAAGAAGCTAAAGTTCGCCCATCATGTGCTTCGCCCCTTGAAAGGCGTCCGGCGAAACGCGTCTTTCCAGAGGGGGACTTTTGGAGCTGCGTCATATGGACCCAATGTCAGCAACAGCCAAAAAGCTACAATAGTGTGGATGGACGAACTCCCGCAACTATGGGAAAAAATGTTTGCTGGTATTTTAAGCAGGGGAGTCAAAAACCATTCCAGGTTTCTGAATTGTGGTCCGAAATGGATTTCGTCCATCCGGCCTCCAGGATCTCGAGTGTGCCATGGCCCACGGCATCGTCAAGCGAATTTCGTCGAACGCCATGAACACCATTTCAAGGGCAATGACAGGCTAACCCCCCTCCCAAGCCCAACTAATGCTGAATAGCTGGCCTGTATCGAGCATCTCTTGGTTATGCTTGGGAAACATGGCCAACGAAATGATTGATTTCGGTTGGCCCTGTGCTCACTTAACATGTAAAACGCCTAAACAGAAACGCGCACCCACACAATCCCCAGCATGTTCAAGCCCACTCACATTTTGGGAAGCTCCCTTTTGGAGCCCGGGGAAGTTTCGGAAAAGGCTCGCGAGCTCCAATGGCCCGAATGGCCATAGGAACTCAGAACCCTTCCCGGGGTTCACGAGCTGGTTGGCCCCAAGCAAAAATGAATCAAACACCCAGAGTCTCCCTCTGACCCCTTAATGCTTGGTCCTTACCCTAATGGGGGCGTGAAACGGGGCTCGGTTCGCCTCATGTAGCCTCCACAAGAACCAGGGGTTCCACTTTTTTTAAGCACCAATCCGAACGACCAAGGATAAACCTGTGCCAGCAAGCCAGGAAGCGGCTCAGTCAAAACGACCAGCCCTTGCCCTCCCGGCCCAAGGCACGGATGAAGTCCAACGCGCCTGGGAATGCAAGGCCCGCGCCAGATCGCAGGACCCAAACCCAAAAGGCGTTGCCCAAAAGGAATCCGAAAGCCCAGCTGTTCAGTGACCCTGGGAAAAAAAGGGAACCCTTTTTGGGGAAGACCAGTTTTAGTGGGGCAGCCACCAAGAAAAAAGGGAAACAGATGTGATATGCAACCACCAGGGGTTGAGTTGGAATATGTGGGGGTCGTATGCACCCTGATTCCCCTTAAACCCTAAATCCTGGTAGTGGTTTGCTCCCATTCGACGACACGGTGGAAGTTTGCCATATGGAAAAGGAAAGCAAACAAGATACCATACAAATGTTCTTCCCGGGTCATTAAGCAACCCTGTCGCTCAGATCTTGAGAACAAGCTTTTGGAGCACGCCTTACTGCTAATGATCACTGTTACACTAGGACACCTTAACGGTTTCTTTGAGGAAACAAAACGGAAAGGGTATCCCGTCGGAGCTCAAGGATGACACAACCTAGCAACAGCTGGGCTCAATTCGGGAGTTGTCAAGAAGCGGAAAGCTTTTGATAGTAATGCAATCTTCGGATTAAACTCAAGGGCCTTAAGGGCTACTCCGATTTGTCGCCTTGGTGTCCGTAAACCATCGATTGATGAATCCTCGGAGTGCCCGGAAGTTCCAAAGCTCAGTCAATCGATTCTCTTTTAGAGCCAGGGGATCCCAAAGCTCCGGCATGGCGTCCTGAATCCACCGGTGGCCTTTTTGGCACCCCACAGTAACTGTAATTTCATGTATTTTTTGTGGATTCTCTGTAATATTCTTTGGCACCCCACAACTGCAAGAAAACGTCCATAGGTTTCAATGGCTTACGTTTGGCAAAAAAATGCATACCTTCACTGCATCCGAAGAACCGACGGACGCGCCAGGGAAGTCAGCTTCTTGTGCTTGTGATTTGGCCCACAGAAATCCAACCATTCGCGCACGGTACACTGATATGATCCCCAAGAGTATCAATTCCAAACGACTTCTGAACAGCATCCAAATGCGAAAGACGGAGCTGTACAAGTAAGACGCGTGGGCAGTGCAACTTACACGGTTGCAAGTTGTTCCCATATGGATCCGTACGTGGGGATCCCATCCTTAAAGGTCTTTGACCATAAGAATCCCCAGGTAAGGGATCTTCATCATGCCCTTGAATCGGTCGATAAAGAGACTGAAGGGAGCCCATCCCAATGCTCGCCGATCAATAGTTGGTCAGCCTTTAAGCTAGAATTGTTCAATGCGCTCTTTGTTCATGCTGGTCAGCGGCAATGATCTAAGATGGCTCCATTGACCCACATGGCCTAAGAGGAAAATCTACATAAATAGTAACCATGGCCACCCCCCCCCCCCCCCAAAGCCGCTGGGCTATAGCCAGTGACAGTAACTCAGTTGCCAAAAGAACCCAGCATAAAAAAGATGATGACCATGAGTTAAAATGGTTGCCCCACCAACGCCACTTCCACTTGGTATTCTGTTTCCTCGAAGTCATATGGAAGTTGCCCACAAGGAATCGGACACCAACAAGGAATGCAAAAAAGGGGCGCCACTGGAAACCAAGTGAACGGTGCCTTACACATGCCCCTGCAAAACGGGTTGCCAACATGGGAAAACCACAAGTTTAAACGGTTGATTTTTCTTTGAACAGCTGGGTGATGGAAATGCTTGCCAAAAAGCCATTGGACACCAACAAGGATTGCCGAAAAAAAGGCGAAACCAATTGGAACCAAGTGAATGGTTGCCAAAAAACAGACGTGGACACGAAAAAACGGCCGACCGTTCCTTCCGGTCGCCGCGCGGGCAAGGTTTAAGGGCCAGGGGAGGCCATGCGGCAAGTCCAACCATTCCGAGGCGCGGCGCTGCTGGCTTCCGTGCAGCTTCTCCCAGTCCGGGACCTCCACCCTCAGCCATAGGTTTCCTTTTAGGTTGGAAATAGATGGGTTTCACTGGTAGATGAGAAACCAGGTAAACCAGGAATCGCCCTCATCTATTTTTTGACCAAGAAGGACACCTATGCCCTCAGCTTCTTGGCAGACGGAGCCCAATGGCCCATATGAACGTGGGACATCGCGACCCAACGCATTTTGTGGGGGGAGTCTCCTGGCGCAGCTGGTTTGAACATGTCATACTTGCGGGGCGTGGAAGATGCTGTGGATGGTTGCGAAATCCGCTTCTCGCACCACCTCAGAGACCCTGGGTCAGGATTCGATTCCCCTGTAAATACCAACAAAGAATGCTTTCTCATGGGTTCCAAGTGGTGCAGGATTCTGTCCATCCATAGTACCACCTGCTTACAGGCAATTCTTACGCTAGTAGCGGTGTCCCTTTGCTGGTTCGGATGAGTTGCAAGCACAACGGGCAACGCACCCTGGGCGCATTTCGAAAGCTGAGCTGTGGGCAGCGCCACAGGGGGCTGCCGATCGCGCAAGTGCGCCTCGCTGGCGGAAGGCGGGAAGCCATGAACAAAATCCAGTTGGGAGTTGTGGTTCGTCCAGCATTGATACTGTGGACAGATTCCTGCACCACGTTGAAACCACAATTGAAACCACTGATTGTTCACAGGGGAATCATCACGATAGGGTTTCTTGGGTGGTGCAGAAAATCGTCCATCCGCAGTAGGGTTTGATCTGCTCAGGAGCTTGTCCATCCGCAGTATCTCTCCCCTGAATTGGAGGCTTGACCCCTTCAGATGTTCATTTATAGTTCCTTAGTTCCTTTCAACAAAAAATGACCTGGAATGACCTTTTGGGAGTCGCTGTTTGCATTTTAGTTGGTCCCAAAAGGCCAGCCTTTCCCAACAGTCGATGCCACGAGGTTTGATGGCGGCGCGATTCAAAAAAAAGAGCTTGCCGGCTTTTCAAGAAAATTACCCTCTTTTGTGGAGATGGAAAGTTGCGCCCCCTTGAAATGTACGGTCCCGAAAGTTAAAATAGGTCATTACTTGGCTCCATTGCCATGTCGAAACATCATTCTGCTGAAATGTTTTGCCGCAAAGCACCGGAAGTAAGGGACAACAACAATGTCTGACATCACCTTAAGAGAATGCCTCTTGCCGAGCTGATCTGGGCAAGCCGCTTCAGGAATTGAGAAATTCAGCATGCTTCAGCCCAAGGGAGGACACTGCAAAGTCTGGGGAATGCCGATATTCTTGGCTGCTATTGGGTAACGGCTCTTTAGACTTTAACTTTTTGAGTGAAATAATGGTGTTTTCCACTAAACCCAGGCATTCACACAAGAACTTTGAAGTGGTCCCTCCAGTTCCCGTACCGAAGCCAGGTTCAGGTGCCGCCCCTTTTCCCTTCTTGTTTGGTAGCTTCCTCACAAGAAATTTGTTAAACTCAGAAAGAGCCATCGAAGGACTAGAGGAAGTCAAACAGCACACCCTGCATCATGGCTCCAAACATCACGTCGTGGGCCCCGATCAGGTGAGTTTCCCTAGGGGTGATGTTTCAAGGAGACGTTTGGGTATGTGTTAAACACCCCCCCCCAAAAAAAAAACACACACCCAAAAAAAAAGCGATCTTGTTCTTCCTGGCCAAGCCAAGGCCGCGAAGGATCTGAACCAACTCCGGTCCTGGATTGCCAGCAGCGTCCGCGCCGGCACCGCCTTGTCCTGCTCGAGGCCTCCAAAACGGTCGCTGCCCGGGAAACCCCGGAAATCGCTCCCTGACTGGATCGACAGCTGGCTGTGGGTCAAAACAAAACCACCATGGGACCACAGGTTTTATCCATGTTTCCATTTACCAGAGTTCCCATTTTGGGTACGTATTTTTGACCCACTGCCAGCTGTTTGTACTGATTCCAGTGTTGCGCGAGGAGTCCCCAGCAGGTAAGCCGTGGCGCGGTTGAGGTGCCGACCAAGCACTATGGACAGTTTGTTGAAGCATGTTGAAGCCCATTGAATGAACAGTAACCCCCGTGTGGCAAGCAACCCACGGCACGACTAACTTAGCTTGGCCCTAGATCATGTACACGGCAATGTCTCGAGTTCTTCACCTGTCACAATCAACCGCTAAACATCTGGGGGCTTCAATGCAGAAGTATCACTTGCATATAGTTCAGCCCTGCTTGAAATCAGCATGGGAATGCACTCTGGCAAACATGCGTCCCTCAAAGGATCCTGGTCAAAGGTAAGGATGGTAACATACTGGCAAGCGACCCAAAGAACCACTCAACCACATCTCAACCACTAAGAATTGCATGATTGATTCGTAGATGGCACCGGTTCCGCAAGTGCAGGTAGATGATCACCATCTAAGCATTGGCATGGGTAAGTTCGTCAAACCTATTGAACGGATTGGCCAAGACCCCGAGGAACGGATGTTTCCCCAAAAACCAAAACCGGTTCGACGGAACAGCAGACTCCACTGGAGGGCTCCCGTTTCAAGTCACCCGGGTGCGCCTTTGAGGTTGGCTCTGCCTGAAGCCCTGCAGCATGTTGGCTTCCCCTAGATGCAAGATGTCGGGAGCAAACCAACACACTGCAAATTCAGTTAATCATCCTATTCCCTGCTTGCATAACTAGAAAAGAAAACCAACCACCCTCGTTCTCCTTCCATGGGTGAAGGGAATCTCACTGAGCCAAACCCCTGCAATGTTTCCCTTCCAGTTTAGCAATGTGGATGATCTTGGTAACCCCCTCGGCCTGTCTTGAAGAAGTAAGCCATGAGCGGCAACACTTCGAACTCCGCGTGAAAGATGTGCCTGTCAGTAGTGTTAACCCAGGATTAATAAACCCGTCCCTTTAATAGGGGGGGGGTTCCCTCCAAAAGTGATGAATCCCCACAAAAATGGGACACCCCCCTACTAATCAACCGGGGGTTTATTCATCCGGGGTTTACATTATTCCATTCGGGAGGCAATCAATCATCCTCTCACCTCCAGGGTTGGCAGTCCAAGAACTTCGGCACTAACATGGCTGTGGCTTAGTAGGGTGACCCCCAAAATCAGGGCTGTGGGAAATGACCACTTCTGTGATATAACAGAAAGGGATTCCCAAAGACGATCTTGTTCATATAACAGGGGACTTCCTTGTATCATCACAGAAGTGGGGAGAAACCCTCTGATCCCACAACCCTGCCCAAAATGGGTTGCCCTGTGGAAACACGGGCTCAACCCTGCGGTTTCCTGGAGGCTCAGAAAGAGGCCTAGAAAGAGGCCTACACCGATGCCCAGAAAGAGGCCTACACCGAACGCAACTCAGTGCTGTTCACCATGGCGCAATGCTAGAGGGATCTCAAAATGGAACGCAACTGAACCCCCAAAACCTACAACCCGGGGCTTTGGCGGCCGTTTGGGCGTGGAAAATACGCAGGCGTGCATGCAAAGCATTGGCACTCCCAGCAAACCGGGGATCCCCAAACACATCTCCCAAACGCCACGTCGAAGACTAAAAACAGTAATTGGACGAAACATGCCGGTGCGTTTCGAGGGTGTGGTGCTGTTGGATGGCAAGGCGCAGTGGGCCAACAATATGTACCCAAAATGGCTTGCCCTGGTAAATGGACACTTGGACCAAAAAAAACCTGCGGTTTTCTGATGGTTTGATTTTGACAACCGTAGCCACTGACTTGCGAGCGCGGAGCTCTGCGCTGGCGGGCATCATCTCCTCCTTCCTCCTCCTCACCTCGCAGTGGCGCAGCGCAGAACTCGAGGGCAGCTCCTAGCGACGGCCGCGCGAACGGGGCCCGAAGAAGGCCCCACCCCATTGGACAAGCAAACACCTCCATTTGCGTTTTCGTTCCCTGGAAAAAATAAAACATATTTCCAGTAGTGAAATCGATTCCCTTTAAAACCAACAGGGGAAACAAACACATGTTCTTAACCAAAAGGAAGAACAAGAACAGGAGCATCTGCGGGAAATTCGGAAAGCCGCCTGTTTTGTAGACTTGGCTGCCGCCGGTGGCTTGGACTAGAGCCTAAATGATGCCTCACATCGACAGTTTCTTTGAATATGCTTTTAAAGCCAGAGCAGGGGCCAGGGAAAGGTCGGCTGAGCACTTTGCGTCCCTCATAAGCGAGAAACGTTTCTCGACTGCCATGCACCTGTGGCTAACATCAGCCTGCCACTTAGTCGGGTAACTATTGAGGAAAGGTCTCCTCGTCAACTGATAGGTTAGGAGGGGCGAGGCCAAACCCGCCCAGCGCCAAACATGACCAACCTTTTCCCCTCCATGAAAAGTGGAATTACTCCGACATGGTCGGGCCCGAGCTCAGTATGGAGGTCAAGGCAGCAAAGAACCTGTAGACCCGAGGCAACTCAATCCCATACTTTTAGACCCGCAATCAATGTTGGCAATAGCTTGCGGTGGCTGAAGACATCACACGGTCAAAAAACTGGGAAACAGCTATCCCCTACTCCCTGCCCTGGCAATTCTCAGGGAAGCATCCGAAAAAGGGATCACCTCAACGAATGCACTTGATGACTTGATCGGCCAAGCGGATGAACTGCTTTGACCAGTTGCGTTGGCAACTCACGTACCACAAATATACCCGCAACACCATTGGGTCTCAACATAAAACCGCGTCCGAGTTGCTCAAGCTAACAACTCGCTTTGTAAAACAACAGCACAACACTCTACGCACCTGCGCCATAGCTTCCCGCCATTGTCCGGCAATGCCACACGCACGATTCTTCAAGGCAAGCGGTCATCTTAAGTTCGGCGCTATTAATACCAAGCGGTAACCCAGACACGACAAGGCACAGCAGCACGGAAAATAACCAACCAGTGTTTAATTGTTCTAGGGGTACCTTCCCCATTCTTTCCAGGGACCCTTCTTTCTAGAAAACCTCCGGAATCCCTGGGAAAATAGCTGCTTTTTGTTTTGTTGAAAAGAGCGATGATTGAAAGGAATCAACCCCTAGAGTTGTGGGCCATAGTGAAAAATACCAAAAAAAAGTGGCCTCAAAAGAGGCATCCTCCCAATCAAAACGTGATGGCCGCCTCAGGTATTTGACCTGGCCCGATTCGGCTATGTGGTTGTCTAACAATGGCACCGGCCTCCCCATGAAAAAGGAACATGTGTCCTGTTGGTTCCCCCCCCCCCCCACCCCGCAAACAGGGCACCGCAAAAGAAGGGAAACCGCTTACATCTATGATAACTTGCGATATTTTGCTCTCTCGAACAACTCAGCTCACTATATTTTGCCTTAAACACTCCACCTGCCAAAACCGATGTCTAAAACATGTTTCCTTGTTGCTGCCTGTTTCTTTTGTGGGGGGGGACCTGTTCGTTCGACCCCACCCCACCTGCTTTATGGACCAGCAAAACCAAGAAGCACGGTCGGATCACAGCTTCCCCCCCAGCAACAAAAAAGAAGGAAAACCACGAAACAACAAGAACCCAACCTGGACCAACAAAACCAAGAAGCAAGGTCGGATAGCAGCTCCCCCCCAAAAAGGAGAAAGAAAAAGAAAAAAGAAAACACCCGCAGTTGCCGGAAATCGAAAATCTCCTTGAAGCACTCCTGGACTCGCAGGTTCTTTCCCAGCCGGCACAGCTCATCTGAGACTTCACCTTCATGGACCAGGGACACCTGACGGAGACCCGGTCACAAGGGTACCTGGACCCTCAAAGTGCCCTTCAACAAGGGATATTGCCCCAAACAAATGGGGTACCATCCATGTTTTCTGGGTATTGCCCCATTTTTGCTGGGTTTGAGGGTCCAGGAAGACGTTTGACACACAAATGACTCGTTCACATGACTCGTTTGGGTAGGACATCTTCCGGTCGGTTTCCTCCTCAAAACACCTGAAGCAGAGCCTCATTGCTTAAAGACACCGAAGAAAGTAAAACGATCAGCCAACCCTACACAATCTTGGACTGCCCCAATATTCCCCGCTAAAAGTTTCACTTTTGGTGGGTTAAATGGACACTACCACTAAACAGCTAAAAGGCTAAGGAACCGGATGGCTGGGAGCCACCAAGAATCCTAAGTCAACCCCAAAAAAACAAGGCTCGCCCCACAACCAAGCCCCAACCTCCGTGAAGTCCCGAAAGCTCGCTGTGCCACGCGAATTCGCCCCAAGCGGCTTTTCTGGTTGAAAGGGAGCATCAAGGCACACAAAAAGGGTAAAACGACGAAGGATACAGCTGTCTGTCGGGCAAAAGCTGTTCAAAATCGCGGGTGGGCCAATCCCCATCAATACGGCCTAGAGGGAAATCAAGACCAGAAGGTTCCATTTCGTAACCCTTGCGCACTGGTTGAGGATTACCTTGGAACGGTTTCTGTTCCCTTTTCCAACTCAAAGACCTTGGGCTAACTTTACCCTTCAGACTAACTCTAGAACCCAAAAAACCCAAGATTTGTAGAAAAAACATCATCTCCTTTTTTTTTAGGGTGGGCTTTCGTTTCAACAAAAAAACAAATAAACAACGTTCATTCTGTTTTGGGGGGAAGGGGGCTATCTCTTTCTTGTTTTTGGGGGGGGAGGGATTTGCAGCGGCATCTTCCATTATTTTTTGTTTGGGGGGGGGGCTCTTTTTTGAGGGGTTCCACGTTGATTTCCAGCGCCCTTTTCAGCGAATGGACGGAATGCCTGGGTGGGCGCCACCGGGAGCAGCTGCTGCAGCGCATACGCGGCACCCACACCTCACAGCGCGCGCCATCGCGCGCGCGAGCGACGTTGGGGCCCGGGGCCCGTGGAACTCACAGCGGAGCCAAAGAGCCTCTTGCCACTATACACATATCCTAGGGGCTCCTAGGAATGTATGGGAAAATGCTTGAAATCGAAAATGCAGTGTTTCCCGACAACATCGTGTTTTCCAAAAAACATCGTGTTGTTTGTATTCCCTAAAAGGACAATGGAGAGGAAACTCGAGGTTTCAAGAGGCTGTGTCTTTTCTTTGTCGGGCTAGTTGCGTTTGGTGGTTGGAAGTGTCAAGAGGCTGTGTCTTATCTTTGTTGAGGCCACTTCGTAATCTTTTTGGTCAAGCTGAAGGGAAGCCAAAAGGGATTGAAGAGGAACATCGGATGGAGGTTTCGGAAACTGTCGAGAGCATATTCAAATGAAAAACGCTGGCAGGTGGCAAATTGAGAGATTCCGGGGCACGGTGACCAGGATCCCTGGAAAAAGCGATCAAACGGATTGCTAAGTAACCTCCTAACCTTCGGACATGATCCCATTCGATTCCAAAGAACAACTTCTGGGTCGAAAACTTGCTGGCAGAGAGGGGACCCCAACACCTATCCAGGTGGTTTCCTTGGCACCCGGCTCATTCCTGAAGCCCCTGCTTGATCACTGAGCACCCGGAAATTCTTCGGCCCCTGGGAAACCAAAGCGGGCCGAAGAACGCCACATGTTTAAGGCTTGGAACGGCGTTTAGTGGTGAGCTTCTTGGGAGAAAAAGTGAGTACCTAGAGTCTCCATGACCCCTTAGACCCCTTAAAAATGGGGTCATGACCCCTGAAATTTGGGCAATGACCCCATTTTTTAAGGGTCATGGAGAGTCTAGGCATGTGCCAACAAACAACACCCCGCAACCGCACGGCAGGTCTCGCAAAAACATCCTTTTCACCGAGGCGAAATTTCGTGAATTTTCCGGTTCAGCCCACCCAATTGTATCAACCCCCTGTCCTACATACCAAACAGTTTGCATCACCGGCGTTGGGCCCTAGATACTGAGTGGCCAGGTAGAAAGTAAGTGCCCGTCATGAAACCCACTTTCAGGATCATCCTGGGCGATTCACAACGGCAAGTTACAGCTCCGGATCTGGGAACAAGGCTTGATTCTTGCCTTGATTTCCCCAGTGGATAGCCCTGGAGCACAGGACAGACTGTAAAGCTGTCCACTCAAACAACCACGCATCTGTCCAAGCAAATGTCACGTCCTTTTGCGCGCTCCGTGTTCCGAAGCTTCCTGAAGTATTGCGCATCCCTGTTGGCCCCGTTGGAAGCATGGGCCGCATGTATTTGGCCTGTCCCTTCAGAAAGCTTCACCTGGGAAGTGAGTTGAAGCGATCCAAAGGCTGGGTGCCAGAAGCACCAGCGCGAGTTTAAGCCGGTAGCATGATGCCTTGCAAATACCGATCCCCAAGGAATTATCATACACACAAATGCGTCGGTCAGAATGATATACACGAATTCCAACACCTGCAGGAAGAAACTCCAGTGAAGAAATCCTTCAGGAGTTTGATGAATATACAAATGGATACATACGTTTGACCATTCACATGGGCAATCATATTGCCAAACCATTGCTAAGTTCAAAATCCTGCCTGGTCTCACTCCAGACTCCAAACGTGCTATTTTCTATTAACTAACATGGTCTTCCTAGCAAGTTCAAAAGTCCATAAACTCGTGGAGTGAGGTTTCATGGATGTTGGCGCATCAGAATTCCCAAGATCAACATAAGAAACCCCGGAAGTAAGGGTCTTCATCGCAGGTAAGCTTGTAATATCCCCAAGGGCCTCGCTCTAACTTGCCCAAATGCATCCCTCATTCTAGGATAAGTTCCATTGCTGCCAAACTACTCCCCCCAAAAGGAAATACGGGTATTGCCCAAACAAAACCACATGGTCTTTCCTTTTGCGCTTCGTTTTAAAGGGAAACCAAACGGAAAACCGTTGCGCCATTTTGGGGGGTCCAGCCCCAAAACAAAACACATGGCATGCCCCCGTTTTTTCCCCCCGAAACCCGGCAAAGGCCCCCAAACGCCCCCAAAGCACCCGCACCCCAGCATCGCGCGAGTCGCCTGGGCAGCAGCTGGTGAGCCCTACGGGCAGCTCCAAGCGGTGCCAGGGCACCTGGCCGGAACCATGAGATCCCGAAAAAAGGGAGGGGGGGGGCCCCGAAAGCTTTCCCTGGCAAAACCGACCTGAAAAGAATACCCTCTAAAAACTCTCGCGCACACGTGTTGGCCCACCCCCTTGTCTTTTTGACTCACCTGGGCATCTACAGGCGTTCAGGCGCTCGCTTGTCGCCCGAAGGCACACAGAGCGACAACAGCGGTTGACTCGACAGCTGGGCACTGAATTCCCGGCTGACGGCGGTTGGGCCACTGGTTTCAACATGCTCTACGAAACCCGCTCTAAGGGTGGCTTCCTTTCGTTCTGGCTTTTGTTTCCTTTCCCTTTCAGGTGGCTTCCTGTAAAATGTTGAAAGGCAACCATCTCCCTGTCGGCCTGTGTCGCTTCCAAGGGGGACCAGGGATTGCTTGCTTGCCTTATATTCTGCAACCAACCCTGGTGCCCCACAGCACCTGCAGCTCTTGCCGGAAGACGTCGAAGTCCATGCGGCCTCGATCAATGCTCGAGTTCCTTCCGTCCAAAACTTGAAGTTCCACTGGAACCTACCAGTCAATTGACTTCCCTTTGCGAAAAAAATAATTCTGTGTACTTTCCCTGGTTGATTTACAGGGCATCTATCACTACAGGCTTGTTCTTTCCCCAGAGGGCGTAAGCAAATCGAATTTGCACTTTGGAGGATGAAATTCAGCGGGCGTTGCTATATAGAAGCAAGGGGATGCCCTTCAGCTGTCAATCCTGCCGCTTACTTTCACAGGAAACGCCGCGATAGGTGTTTCCTTTCAAGAGCTCCTTGCGGCCGCAAAGGGCGCAAGCCCAAGCACATACTGTTTGAATGCCTTCGCTTGCTCCGTGCACCTCACCTCTCAAAACATCTCGTGCTCAAATTGCAAATGTGCCGTGCTAAGGAAGCCCACGCACAGATTGCAGCGAAATTGGATTCTCTGATAAATAGGGAAAGTCAAGAAACTCGGTTTCTTCCCAAACCTCCAAAGCATGAACTGGACAATTAAGAAGACAAGTCAGACATATGATGGGCCTGTTTCCAATTGGGTCAGGGGGTGCTGGCTGGGGGGACCGCAGCAGCTTTTCACGGTCAAGCAGATATCTCCTTTCGGTTTCCCGGGAAAACTAACGAAGATATGGAGGGTCAAACATACTGTGGATGGCCGAAATCCACTTCGAACCACCTCAGAAACCCCGGGATGATGATTCTGCTGTATATACGAATCAAATCCTAAACAAGAAAGGTTTTCCCCCATTCAAGGTGGCGCGAGCGGACTTCGTCCAGCCACAGACCAACCCCCACGGGCGCGGCCTATGCCAAGATCGCCCGAGCCTGTCGAGAGCTCCGCGGCTTCCAGGTCGGCCTCATCGTCGTCGCTGTCGTCATCGGGCGGCTGAGGCCTGGTACCAGGTACCAGCGAATCTTCCAAATGGTTAAGACCCCTGGCAAAAATAAACACATATTTCCAGTAGTCCCTTTAAAACCAACAAGGGAAACTAACAAATATTCTTAAGCAAATGGAAGTAATGGCAATCGGGGTTTCGGGGCGCTCACATGTTCACGTGAGCACGCGACACTTCCGGCGTGGGCGTTGTGCAGTGATTCACTTCCCGGTGTTTCCAGGTTTTGTGGTTTGGCAGGTTTCCTGCCAGCTCTACTCCGCTTGTGAGCAACTCACTTTTGTCGGGTTGGGCTGGTTGGGTGGAGGATGGAAATACATTCTCATCAGAAGCATCTCTAAATGTATGACGAAATCAAGCTAGCAATACTGCATTCTTGCTTTATAGGCCATGTACCTTGTTCAAGGTTGATCCATGTGCGCCCAAGTTGCCCAAGCCACAGGAATCAACCTCGCTAAACAAACTCAACTCCAGATGACTAACTGGAGGACCCTGATTGAAATGTGAGAAATGTTCCTGCAAAAGCACAACAACTCATCTGATTCACCTAGTGCAAGGTGTCACCTCGGGCAGCTCATAGCAGTCTCAGCCGTGCCGCACTATGGCGCGCAGATCCTCACAACTTAGGTCAAAACAGGAGATGCCATGCATTGCCATGGCTGGCACTAGTTGAAAGGGCGCTAACATGACACCTGCCTCCTTTGATCGCTGCCTCCGAGTGCAAAAACAAAGAAGGGGTGCGGGCGTTCAATTAGTTTGTCTTCTCGCTGAATACGTGGACTGGCCAAAAAAAGTACCCAAATTTGTTGCTTGCCACTAAAATGGTCCAAACCCAAAAAGCTTAAAGTCGAACTCAGGGACCAACCCCGTCCAAATCCAAACACCCTGGGTGGAGCCGAAGTACCAGTTTTAGAGTGCATCTTATCCCCCTGGACGCATACAGAAAATCATGGCCATAAAAGAAACAGGGCGATTGGCTCATCACCAACCCCAAGGGCAGTTCGTTAGAAAGGACCCAACCAAACACGAAGCCGGCTAAACCTCATGCAAATGGTCTGCAAACAACGGGGCAGGCCAAAGACACACCCAAGCCTGAACTCACACCAGACCAATCCGAATCCTACTTCAAACTGCATGTCAAGCCCTGCACCAACTCCAACTCCACTCTGAAGCTACTCGAATCAAACTCCTTTTTAAATGAAACCCCGGAGCCAGAAAAAAGAAAAACAAAAAACACCACCGCGGGGTTTCAACAGCGATGCGCATCCCATGAGATTCTCGGGGCAAGCAGCTCACTGAGGCGCGGCATCTTCTGGGGTCGCGAAGCCGAGGCAGTTTCCGGCGCTGTGGCTGCAAGCCTCGGATCCCATTGCTTCCATTTGCTTAAGAAGATGTTGTTTTCCTCCTGTTGGTTGTAAAGGGAATCGATCACTACTGGAAACTTGCTTTATTTTTCCAGGGGTCTTAACCAAATGGAAGATCGGCCTCTGACGCTGTGGGCTTCTTACCTCTAGGGTTGTTAAATAGACGATGGTAGCCGGAAGCATGGGAAAGAGCCACAGCGGTGTAAATTCACAGACCCGCTTGTTCTTGGAACATTCAGGTTGGCTACCTGCATCATTCCCTGCGTTGATAAAGGACATGTACCAAAAGGTTGTACGAGTGTGTGTGTGTGTGTGCTTTTTGAGGGTACCATTTCTTTGGCTGGATCAAAGGGAAACCAAAAGCAAAGCCAAGCTTTGGT